AGATATATTTTGTCCACGTTAGTTCTTCTTAAAATTTCACTCTACTATAGATTTATTCGTATCAGGCATACTGACTAACACTTTGCTGTTGTACCGATACGATATACTCATGATATCTTAGAATGTAACTTCCTGTTTCTATTAAGTAAAAAATTGTATTTGTAAACCATAGGATGTGAGTATGGGAAAATATAAATTAACTTATCGTACTATTAGTATCGACTACATCCTCCTAAGAGTTTTAACGTCCTGATTGTTATCTTGGTAAGTTAAAACTTAATTAGCAAGCACATTGCTAACGTTGACATGATCGAATATGAATTCAATAGCTACAAGATTCTGTAGAAATCGTAAATAATAATTGTACTTTCTCCGTACTTAGAATGAAATATAATAAATCGTTGTAAATACCGTCAAAAATACATAGCAATCCGGATCTTAAATATAGAGCATAGTTCACCTCCTACACTCTAAAGATAGTCCTTAAATTATTTTGACGAGGTCATTCACTTGTATTGAAATAATTAAACGGCGCTATTAATGTTGTCATAAAATATATAAAGGTATCAACGATATTAATATCTTTTAAAACAATAACATCGGTGTACTAGATATAGCAATTATAGCATATGGGAATTACTGTATGTAAAGAACAAATATCACAGTCCGTTAAAGATGTTCTTGATCTTACCCCAGCGATATTCATGAAGAAATGCAAATCATCGGCACTTGGATCAATTTGCTGTTTTTTACGCTTATGTAAATTTAGGAATGCTTTAATAGCAATAAATCTCTTATCGTTAACTATACGTTGGAAAGAGTTCGTAGCAGGAGAAAGCGCAAGTGCTTTTCGAAAATAGTTCATTCTCGATTTTTGCCGTTAAAGGATTGATTTAATGATCTACCATATTTGCTCCGCTGTTCTTCGTAGAAAAAAATTGCCTATACTAAATAGTTTATTAAATGTTCTGACTTATATTAAACATTGGCAGAAACCAATTATCATCATCATTGTCTTTAATAGTCAATATATCGTGGGGGTCTAGAGTACTATACTTTACCATTAATTCCATTGGTATTGTCTATTCATTGTGATTGTCTTCAATTAAATTTTTATTTTTCTCTTCATTAACAAAATTTATAGTACCCCTTTTTTATTCGTATTTGTTCCTATGTTAGCTTTTCTCAGTAGAATCTTTCAAATTTGCATCAATAATACAGTAACCTACGCAAAGAACTGTGTATTGCGCTATTTTGGTTAATCATGGCCCTAAAAATTAATAATAACAAAAGCCCTAACTTCCTTACGTATAATTTCAAATGAAATATGCTAGAGCAATAAAAAAGTCAACGAAAATCAAAATCTTAAGTATAAAATAGTAATTGTACAACATATATTAAAGTAGTGAAACTTTTCAACCACGCTTTTGTTTTTAACAGCAAAAGTGAGCAAACGAAAGTCGCAACGTAAATTAAATCACGTTTTTTATTTACTATCATTAATTATAAAATATTCGACAATTTACGGATATAATAGGATTTAGCACAGTGATCAGTATTAGTTACCATCTTTAATCTAATATAGATTGGTAGAACTTCTTCTGCATTATATTCTTAGTACGTAATACAGTTGTAAAAAGTAATTCAGTTCTTATATCGTGGGCTACGGGTATTCATAGAGTCTTAAAACTAAAACTAAAGTAATTGTCCACATCGAAATGATATCGTGCAGTGTTATACATATAATATATTCTGTTAGAATTATGACTGTGACATCTAATATTTTCACAGTAAAGATACTTTATAGATTTGTAATCGCACGAAGCTAACTACAGCGAAAATATTTTCCATATCGAAAAAATAACTAATTACGATTACAGTCTATTCTTTCATTAGAAGAAAGTGATATTCAAGGACGATAACTATATTTAATTGATTGGATTAATCGTATAAGTAATCTGTGTGGCTGCTGTACTAATAAGATCGAGTAATATGAGTCACGAATAATGTGAAATATCTTCCCGAAAAGAGCAATATTCGCAAATTCGTAAATGACTCGAAGAGTACGGTGTATATCAGATTCAAGTTATCTTTAATTCAAGATAGTCTATATGTTCTATTTTCAGTAGTATCTTATCTTGTTACTGATGACGATATCCATCACAGATAATACGATTCAACACCATGCTGAAGGTTATTGCTAGCTGCATATATAAGCCACGTCCTTATTATTACCAAAGCTATTTTGTGCTGCTCTTTTTATCTGTATAGCTGCAAGCGCATTTACCCCGCAAATGCAGTTCCTTTCCTCATCCTCAAATCACCACTATTGCAGCAATACAATCCTTGTAAGTCAGGACATAGCATTACAATGTAGTGCTTAGCAGTACTCAGTAAAACACAGTATTGTTTCTTATATTCTAAAATAGAGCACCTAGGTGAGCATGACTTTGTGCTGAAGACATATAATTTATATAAAACCTTATATTTATAAAACTGCATAAAAGGATAACAAATTATGCCGTGATAGCAGATCAAGAAAGCAATGTTTTGACACTATATTTCAAGCAAACACTGACTTACATAACTATAAGTTATTCTATACCATAAGATCAGAGAATTTCTCAGCGACCTATGCGTAAACATTTTAATGAGCATATGTTTTGATATCTATCCATAATACTAATATATCTTAGCACAGTATGAGTTTAAGCTAATGGTAAAATATTTAATTAGCGTGAATGATATACAATATATACGCGTATTTCAAATTTTAGTAGCTCATGCTTAACCAAAAAGTTTCAATGGAAGGTATGAATGTAATTTATAAATGTTTAAATAGTGATTTACGAATATGATCGTGTTAGCGGAGGAGCAGGAATTAATTAAGATTCTATTAATTAGTATACAATATCTCATTTCGTACGGTTTCTGCAGACTACAAGCCTATTGCCGGGAATCGCTCCACGATTAATTATCCGTGATTAGATGGTCGCAAAGCCTACGTTAATGAAATTTAACAAGCTTTTATGCTCAAAATTATTAATTGCAGCATGCAATTAATAACTAATGCATTGGTATCAAATATGAAAAAAAATTGATCAAATTTGGTTTACATCGACTTTGCCGTCTCTGCGGTTGATTGAAAAGATCTGCAAGACACCAACCTACTTATGGACTTCTATGAATAGCAAGCCCCATACGATAGTACGCGTAACGGTACAAAGAAAGAACGGCCTTAAGGTGTCCCGCTGCCTGCTGTGTCGACTGGAGAATAAATAGTATCATCAAATAATTAAAATACTCTATGTCATAATTATACTACATAGTATAGTCATAGAGTACCGCACTAAATGTTATACACCATATATTTTTATCGTTAGTCATTAATCAATGTACGGCGCACTTAGTTCTGTACGCAACCGTGGAGTTACGAATTACTGTACAGTAAATTGTCATAATTAAACAAGAGGCAATAGTATACTTTAAAACAATCTTTCAAAGCCTACATGTTCCCGCTAACAGTGCATAGGTTATGGACATTAACTACTCGCCTTAATTTTTATTATCAAGTTCATAATAAGGACAATCCCTGGAAATCCAAATGTTCTCTATGCAATATTATTTCGTTAATACGGTAACTATGGTAATTGCATTTACTTACAAGAGAACAGTGGCAATCCACTAATGTCTGTATTATTGATACAGTACGTAGAGTATATACAACAATGTAGTTATAAATTAATTATACTCGAGAGGACAAATCAGTATACATACGTTCATTGCCTTGCCTACAATCATACTGTACTAATCATACAAGTTAAATTAAGAAACATTGCAATGTATTATTAGCCGACTACTACATACGTAGTATTTTTCAGCTGGGCTGTCAGTACTGAACTGATTTATTGGTTTTTATAGGAGAAAGAGTAGTCATCTGTCTTGATTTTGCAACCAGTCAAAAGGTACAGTTCCTGTAGTTTATGATATAAAGTACGTATCCACTCATTCACTATATAGGGCATTGCAATGCAGCTAAGGCTGTTAACAGCATAGTTAAGATGAATGAAAGACATTGGTACGGTGGCTCACAATCACAATTGTGAGCCACCGTACACTGGCGCATGCATGGAGGTAAAAGAAAAGCTCAATTTCTTGTGTACTGTAGTTCAATACGGCACAGTAGACTGAGTAGAGTACAACTAAAATCCAACTACTGTAGACAGGGTGATCATCAATTTGGCTGGTCATATTTACTGTACGGTAGAACTATTACCGCACACTGGCAGCTAAATACAGAGTAAAAGTTATCTATAGAAACGGTCTATACAGGATATGTTGCGATATATTGCAACATATCCTGGATTAAGAGTAAATAATTACGATAGTAATTCTTTTTCGAGCGTGCGATACAGAAGTACATTTGTTGGTCGTTTGACTGTACTGTGTGCCGATCAACTTTCCAATTTGTAGCACAAGAGAACGATAGTTTCACATCTCTCTCTCTCTTCCTTTTAAGTTGTGCTCTGCATTTTTACTACTCATTTGGATGGCAACATAACTATCTGTATATGTTATTTATATTTATATACAGTATATATACAATATATTGTATCATCGCATATAACATAACGTATAAAGTCATGACCAATTTAAGCCAATCAAGAGTGTTTTTTCGTGAACCCTGTTAAGTGACCCAGTGACCCCGCAGCCGAAATGAGACTGTACAGTGTAGACTGTATACTAGTGTTCTGTACCAGTTCCGTAGAGTACTACAGTATATTTTACAGTATGTTTACTGTAGTGCCATTGTGTACATACTGTGGAGTGACGGAGGCGTAGAGAGTGAAGAGTATATAGCGTGTCACGTCCGAGCAGTTTTACTGACTCAAGGCTAAAGCCTCGCAGTAGCAAAGTGGTAGGTTGAGAATCCCAACAAGCTCTTGGAAAAGTCTGTCCAATTTCGATCAGCTGCTCACCTAACTGTAAAATCGAAAAAGATGTCCAACAACGATACAACGCCTGTGCGCTCACAGCACCGCTTCGAAGAAGCAAGACTGCGTAACTTCATGATGCAACATGTAGATGATTTTCCTCAGCAATCGAACGACTTTACTGTGCGACAATACAGGTTGTCCTCCTATACAATGTTTATTTTCCAGTAATGGACATGCAATAACATAGATAGAATACGGACACAAACGTATCCATAAAGAACCAATTATAATAATATTGCATTTTTGATGCATGCATAAAACGACAGAAAAAGTATCCCATACTATTTATAAGGTTTATATTTATAGAGATATACGGTACAGTGTTTAGTCACTTCAGTGCACGCCTACTGGATGCCTGCATACAGTACGTTGATCTTTATAAATTACGTGAGGGAGGGTATGCAGCATGTTATGTCTATTTAACCAGTATTTTTGAACCACTCTTGAATCCTAAACTTAGAATTTTGAATTCTGTGCTATTGCAATGTAGCATTAACGCAGTGAATTGATTTGTTAATGTACTGTATTATACGTATAGATTATGCTCAACACTGCCTTTTATGACAGATATACTATACCATGTATTGGTCGAACATAAGCGTCATATACGGAGTATTTTCAAGACCAATAGCGTGATTGACTATGATCAGTGATATGTAGTTACTAGGTAGTCCATGATACTTTGGATTAATTAAACTAGCTTTGTTCGGCACGCTTCGCCGTGCTGATGAAGTACATGTATGTGAGGGTAAATATTTTGAAGATATCTCTAAGCTCAGTAAGCAGTGTCTGTAGTGCTGATTCTAATTGTCTGATGCCAACGTTTTTCTTAAACCTATAGCTGGATATAATCATCTTTAAAAATGATACACTACCAGCAGTGAATAGTCCTTTACTGCCACATCGTACTTAGAATCTGTGACGCTGCTACATTTACAGTATATTATAAACCTCAGTACGAATATATAGTAATTTATAAGAGTATAGCTTTGCTAAGTGAGATTTGGTTTGTGAGATGCAACCGAGATTAATTATACATTATTGAAATACAATTAATGCAACGCCATATTTACTGTTACTGTAGTGACTACAGCAGTTGAATCCGTAACATATACAATACACCTGTTTTGGTTGGGCTGCAACTACAGTATATTCTAATACTCTGTACTAGATACAGCACCACATACTGCACGTATCCTCCCTCCCAGGTGGCAAGGAAGATGGTAGTCAATGCGTTAATTAATGATTAATTCTTCATCTTCTAAATAGTAAACTAAGTTACCTTGCATGGTTATTGAGATTAATCAATAAAGGTTGAACTAGTTAGTATACATGAATAGAGCAATTAATACTCCAATAGTTAACCTTTGTATTCTGATATATGTATTGCCCATTGGATATTTGATACAGTTCTGGCCAGTCAAATCCTACATTTTACATCGCTGCTGGAGGAAAAGAGTTTGTTATGCGAAAAAAACCTCCTGGAAAATTATTGCCAAAAGCTCACATGGTATGGAAGGAATCATTTATTCTACATTTACGCCTCTTAGAGATTTTAGCTACGTTATATGTATTCTCTCGCATGAATTGAATTGAATTGAAGCAGATATCAAGAGTTCCATGTAACGCTATAATAAACATATCTCAGTATACAATAATCAACAAAAGTAAACAAGTTTTAGAAATATTAACAATTGAGATATTAAATATGCATGTAATACACTATGAATGTACGTATATACCTCCTTATTGGATTATATCATTGAATAGTAGTGTAGATAATATCTTGACCGTTATTAAAAGTCTTTATTCTGGCACTGTAATGAATTAACAATAATACAGTTGTGATTCAACATAATTTTTTATGTTGATAGGTAAACCGTGAATATCGTATTCTGTCAGCACTATATTCAATTGGATATCCTGTCCCGAAGCCGTTCGCATATTGCCAGGATCCTTCTGTGATTGGGACTGAATTTTATATTATGCAGCATGTCAGGGTAAGACACTTTTATGTTATCACGATTAATTAACTACTTCCTGTAGCAGATATCTTGCATACAGTAATTGATACTCATAGAATCAACTACTGTTATACTTCCAATCGTAAATTTAGGGACGAATATTTCGTGACCCGGAATTACCTGGAATGACCCCAGGTCAACGTCAAGCCATCTATGCTGCTATGATGGGTGCACTCGCTAAATTGCATAGTATTGATTGGAGTAAGATTGGCTTGGGAGACTTCGGGCCAACAACGAATTACTCCAAGCGTCAGGTGAGCAATAATGCGTAACTCCTGTACGTTACAGCCTATCATAACGTGCGTGAATTAAACGATAACGCTTTCACTTTTATTAATGAATAGAATTTAGCAAGCTAAGGAAAATAAATTTTATCTTTTATTCTAAGGTATCTACCTGGAATAAGCAATATATCGCATCAAAGACGAGTGAGGTATCGGAGATGGATTATTTATTCAAATGGTTAAGCAATAATATCCCTGAAAATGAAGGAAAAACTAGTAAGCCATTATGAAATTATTACAGTGATACTGGACTGATATAAAACGTTATTTCGTATATTCTTTTTCTAACAAATTTCTAGCTGCTATTAATTTATATTTTATTAATTATAGCAATCGTACATGGTGATTTTCGGGTGGATAATATGATTTTTCATCCTACTGAGGTATTACTCGTCTATTGTACCAACACTAATTCCATGTTATATACGACTAATGTGATACTGGGTGTTTTATGTAGTGACTGTGACAATAGCCACTCCATATCCAGATGCGGTAACTAACAAATTTGTGTTAAATCTCTATTTATAGCCTCGCGTTATTGCTGTTCTTGACTGGGAATTGTCTACTCTTGGTAATCCTCTAAGTGATGTAGCGTATTGCTGTACTCCCTATCACATGATCGTTGAAGAATTGAAAGGATTGACTCCTTCTTTTGGTAGACTTCTATATTACCATGCGATTTCTTATATAAACGCGAGACTAATTTTTTGTTTGAATTATTTTATAGCTTTCAGCAAAATACCAGGAATTCCAACAGAGAAGGAACTCACTGATACCTATTGCTATTATCGTGGTTTAAAACCGCCTCTGCCAAATTGGAACTTCTACTGTGCACTGTCCATATTCCGTATGGTCGGAATTACTCAGGTGATTTCAATTTTAATTTATGGCAAACTACATATATAACTAGCTTTAAATGGGTTCTTACGAGTTTGTTGTTAATTTAAGGATATAATTTGTTGCAAGCAATTTTATTACTATTACTATTACTATAATCATAATTATAATTGCTGTCAGGGAGTTTACGCAAGATCCATTCAAGGTAATGCTAGCTCTGAAACTGCCCAAACGTATGGTAGAATTGTACCTCTTGCAGCTAAGGCTGGAGTAATTGCTGCGCTTTCAAAATCAAGGTAATTACTATTTCCAGCTTTAAATATATCCTCCTTGCTACAACAGACTATGTAATAATTTTATCTATCGCACTGAAATATTATAACTTGTTACTGTTTAGCGAATTTACAGCTTTCGATGATAATAATGGTTCCTTTGGAATACTGAAGCTATCGTCTAGAACGCGAGAATTACAAAAGCAAATGAAAGAATTTATGAAGAAATATGTTTTCCCAGCCGAGCAAGTATGTCACAAATAAACATCTTCCTGATTTAGCGACTTCTTTTGAATCATTTCATCTAAGATCTGTCATCAATATCTCCTGTTTAGGTAATCCATGAACACTTGCAAAATGCCTCAAATCGATGGACAGTCCTTCCTATGGTTGAAGAACTCAAGGTAACCTTAACTTTACTTTGTGTAATAGTGATTGCCACGACTAAGTATAAAATCTTCTATTAATAGACGAAAGCAAAGCAGGAAGGCCTTTGGAATTTGTTTTTGCCTGGAGCATCAGGACTGTCACAAGTGGAATATGCTACATTAGCAGAAATAACGGGTTGGTCAGATTTCGCTCCTGAAATTTTCAATTGCAACGCTCCAGGTATAGAGTTAGCTCAAGCCCATTCATAATGTGATATTTCCAAAATTTTTAGTAAATATACTAAGATTTGATATAATTTAAATTTCTTGAAAGATACTGGAAATATGGAAGTTTTGCATTTATACGGCTCGGATGAACAAAAACGAGAATGGCTAGAGCCTTTACTTGAAGGAAAAATTAGATCTTGTTACTGTATGACCGGTTGGTATCTGTTCAAATTCGTGATATTCTTGCTTAGATCTGGGATTCAGCACAAATTTAATGCTACATTTTAATAGAACCCTATGTCGCATCATCTGATGCTACTAATATGGCGCTGACAATAACTCGTGACGGCGATTACTATATCGTTAATGGTCGCAAGTGGTGGAGCAGTGGTAAGTTTATTTCGTTAAAGTATTACAGTTTATGCACATGTTAAATATTTAATAATGGATAACTGATAGATTATTCACTTGACACTACATCAGTAGCAAAAAAGAAAACGAATTTAATCGCGTAAAATGATTGCTATGATTTATAATCTTGTAGGTGCTGGAGATCCTAGATGTAAGATTGCTATAGTAATGGGCCGTACAGGTGGAAAAGAAGTTCAAAAGTATGCGTTCTCTTTTAAAATTTTAAACGATGTTATATCAGCATACATTAGCTTCTAACTGATATAATCATTATAGAACGTATCGGATAAATCTGGGCATACGTACTATAGTAAGAGTAGAAAGTTTCGTTTAAATCTCTAAAATTAAGATACGGTAATTTAGGCACAGAAGTCATTCTATGATATTGGTTCCTATGCAAACTCCTGGAGTCAAGAAATTAAGGGCTCTTACAGTTTTTGGCTATGATGGTAAGATCTTTACTTAATCGTCAAAATCTAAAAATCTGTAGTCTGCGAAATATAATTCGCATTCTTACTTGATTATATATCTACAACAACTTTTTAGATGCCCCTCATGGTCATCTAGAAATTGAATTTGACAACGTTCGCGTTCCGGCGTCGAATATTATATTGGGCGAAGGTCGTGGCTTTGAAATTTCCCAAGGGCGTTTAGGTCCCGGTAGAATTCACCACTGCATGCGTCTCATAGGCAGAGCGGAACGTGCTTTGTCATTAATGTGTGACCGTGTTCAGAATCGTGTAGCTTTTAACAAGAAATTAGCGGAAATGGTATTTTTATTACCCTATTGAAAGGTTTTAATGAAAATATTGTACTGATAATGCCCTAATTGATACAGAATACCATTCAACATCACATCGCACGGTCCAGGCAAGAAATTGAACAAGCGAGACTGTTAACACTTAAGGCTGCTCGCCTGATTGACCTCAAAGGAACTAAAGCTGCACGCAAAGAAGTACTGCATTATTGAGTTATAAATTTATTATTATAAAATTATTTATATATCAGATCGGCTTGCATTATGACAAAATCAGATTGTAATCCATTGAATAATCTCTTTTTTAGATTGCTATGATTAAAGTTGTCGCTCCCAACATGTGTAGTGAAGTAGTTGATCGAGCAATCCAAGCATTTGGTGGTGCCGGGGTATGTCAAGATACTATCCTACCATACTACTATGTAGCCGGTCGTACGCTTCGAATCGCTGATGGTCCTGATGAGGTTCACCTCACTTCAGTTGCAAAATTAGAATTACGAGAGCAAACAAAAGCAAAATTATAAACGCCTTATGCAGCATCCCTTTAACTGCGTAAGGATGATATAGCCATCAGTCAATGGTAGTGCAGATTTTTAAATATTCTAGATCTGATACAAATTTTTTGTAATGCCATGCATATTAAAACTAATTATAAGTTTTAAAATTAATTTAAAAATAATGAAAAGCAGCTGTAACGTAAGATTAGAATATTTTCGCTTAAATATTAACTATTTTAGGATTAAATGAATAAAAAGGTAACTTTGACCTTAGTCTGAAAATTTGATGATTGATGGTGAAAATTACAAATGAAGTATCACGCTTTAACTATATATACCCCCGTAGTTATACAGTATGCACGATTCTATCTAGAAGCGTCAACCGAATCTTCTCACTAAGATATTACTACGAGAATAGTTAGTTAAAATCTATATAAAAGTATACGACCAAGGCAGTAATCACGTCCACATTAAAGTATATATGCAATGATTGAAATTTATTAATTTTGATCAAATTGAATACAACTCAAAAATTAAGTAGTTTCCTAATTTTCATAAGGAAAATCCACAATAATAAAAGTATTTACAGTCGATGAAATTTTACATGTCAACGCCATAGCACCGTACATTGTCCAGTACGATTGGATTGTGGAATAGAATATACACTAAAGAAAGCTAACATAGTACTTATAGCATTAAAGTAAAGGCAACAGAATTAAGATTAATTCTCTAAGTAAGTAACATAGTCCGTCAACTTCTTTAATTGTTCATTGGTAATATTCTTAATTTGTGTATCATCGACTACAATAATAAGAAAAGAATGACGAATTGATTACTCGAAAGCTAATTTGTAAACACTGTTATCTTACTGTTAGTAGCAATAAATCCCATACCTATCTTCGTTGGCATTATCATTTGGGAATCTACATCTACCGTCCAGCTTCTTTCTGTTGCAGCTACGATTATAAGTAATCAGAATAAACGTGTAACTACTGTATGCAATCACCGGTGAATTTTAAATAAGTGTATATCTCTACGATAACTATTTTACTAGATAACATTCCACGAGAATTAAATTCACCTTGGATGGCATCTTCAACCGATAAACCAACAATAGCCGCTAAATCTTTCCAACTAATACTGTCATAAGCCCTACTCACCAGCTGAAAAGCCCTATTTCTACAGTTAGCTATATCAACAAACAAAGTCAGCGATCAGTTCAATAATCTATTTCATGAATTGCAGTAAAGATATATAACATAAAATATTGTACGGAAACAACTAATTTCGGAAGTTGTTTTCCTTGAATTTTGATACAAAATTGCATCACGAAAATACATAATAGCATATACAGTGCGTCATTGAAATTTATCGACATGAGATCACTTTTACTTGCACTAAAATGTTTAATGGTTGATGATGTTTGTAAAATTTATTATGATTAAATACCTTTCAATGCGATAATGATTGGCTTGATGGAATCCGACCACCCATAATCAAAGCTTGCATACATCTGAGGATAGTTCCTTTGCCACATACTTTTACCTATTTCCCATACAGCTCTTATTTCTTTACACTCCTAAAGAAAGACAAGACACTATGAAATCATTGCCATCCATCATGTACAAAAACAACACAACATAACGTAACACCACGAACTGCATGGAGTAAATATTTAATTTGAGTAATACTGTAGGTGCATAAACAGACGGTAGCTAATCGCAATTTGTAAACCTTTCAAGGTAGCAAAGACACACTTGTTTACGTATAGTATCATCGTATCATTAAATAGAACATCACCTTGAGGGTATCCTCGGGTATTCGCTTCCATAAAAACTTTGCACTAATTCTATAGTTGTATTTCATTTAGTTTAAGAAATTAATGAATAATACATTTATAGCTGGCTATATTTTAAGTTCACGACGACACATCAATGCAGATAAAAATTTCGCGAGTTAAAAATGTTTATCTACTATACGGAGCACAGCCAGAATCATAACATTCCAAATTTGATAGTAAATATGTTAATTATTGGTATCAAAATTCTTTTGCTTATTGATGGAGCTTCCTATAGGCTATAGGTATATGTATGTAATCGTAGATGTATAGTTTATTGCTGTTGCTTTTATTTCCTTCATGTATTACTGTAGTTTTCCTAGTGAATATTGTACAGAACTATTTCATGAAATACTCGATTGCTAGTAGCAAAGGTGCGATTTTTTTAGGCCAATGCATTTGTATGAGTGCAACTACTACTGTAGAATAAGTGCAGCCTGTAAGGATTATTTCGAATAGTCCATGCATGCTACGACATCACTGATTTAGTGCAGGTTATCATGTATTCCTGTAAAAGTAATATTAGTGTTGGTTAGCACGTATCTAATAGCCCTACATACGTACAAATCGTTCTGTAGAAGATATATGGCTAATAATTTGGCATAAATATCGGCATCTATAATTCCGTTTTCAGCCTGTAAAAATAGATTTAAATTCGTCATCATTAAAGTATATCTGAAAGGTATCATTGACAATCAATCCGTTTGAAATTAATATGCGTCTTTTTATACTATGTCGTAGTATAACAATAAATCAACTGTTCTACAATGTACTACGATATTACATAATACTCTTTAATATTTCAACAAACTATCGCTTTCTAGTCCTATACTCTGCATCTATGATTACTACGACATTATTAAAAGAAGGTTTCAAATGAACGTAAAAGCTGCACCTAGACATAATATCAAGGCAGTATGGCTAGATGTCAAGTACCTGAAGTTCCAGCTCTTCATATTCGAGTGCCATTTGATTAAAAGTATCCATCATCAATGGTCTATTTCACACAGCGATATTTTATCGAATAAGTAATTTTAAGCTGAATAACTTGTAGTCCAGCTTGCAATTCGTACACAGAAGTACAATATAGGCTTCTACTTGAATAAATTGAACAAGCAATTGCTTCCAATTGCCTCTCTGCAGGCGTAGGCTATCTTGCCTTTTCTTGATGCTGAATCCCTTTACGCTTGCTAGCGTTCTCTTTCAGACGGTTTGTATCGATATGCAGTATAGCGACTAGAGTATACTATACAAGTCTAGCATATTACTGTAGTCTAGGGGAGTATTCACCGAGAAGTAGTCTTGACGGCCTATAGTAAGTACTCCTTTGTGCGCTATGGTTCACGTATCGAGTGACGATACGGTCAGAGTTGGATACTAGGCTGCTTTATTGTGCACCTTACACGGTACAATGTACTGTGGGTACAGTCTGTTATACAGTATGAAAAGTACTGTGCACTGTACACCTTGGTCAATTTAATAGTGTCACTCTAGTCCGGTTTGTACGGTGGCCCATAACGGCCACTGATTCTGAGCAAGCGTAGGTTTGCTGTGTGGGTACGATTTTGTATCTACGGTTCCACAAACTTGCAGTTATATTGCGTTACAAGTGTGAACAGCGCACCTATATAAGCCGCCGCTTTTCAATACAATAAAGAATGAGTAAGAGTTAGTAGTTAGTTTTACAATAACTTCAAACTAACGTGTTCCATTTCTTGTCTCCATGCTAATTGAGAGTAGTACCAGCCTTCAATACAGTTGTTAGTTGTTGGTATGAACTGTAAATAGCAATACTGTACACAACAGTAACACAGTAGTGTACTAGCTAGAATTGTTGCATTTTACTTTGTTGTACTGTACTGTGTCGGTATGAGTCATCAAGAAACATCACTGTTGTCAAAATGCTTTCAAACATACTTACAGTTACTTGTATACTCTATTGGGTCGAATAATAAGAAGAAGAATAAATCAATTCTGCAAGTCCTATCCATACATGTTAAAACGTAGTATTTTCCATCAATTGAAAATGGCACTATGGAATGAATACAGTACATCATCCAAGAGTAGGGTAAAAGAAAAAACTTTTCTTGAAAATATTAATAGTACAGTCCAGTCCAGTATAAGCCAGTATAGGCCGTCATACTTACCGTGAAACCACCGGTGGGTGAGTCATCCATTGGTATGGAGGACTTGCTCCTAGGCTGAAACTGCACGTGGTACCATATTAAGCATGCTCACACTGGATTTCTTAATCCTGAATGCGATAGCGCATAGCAAGCCAGCGTCGTCCGATTGTAGCGTTCCATGACAGTCACTGTCGGTAGTAAGACTGTATTGAGATGAGTAATGTGTAAAAATAGTGGTATGACTTGACAAGTTGATTGAAGTACTACCGCTTCAACCAATCATCATGAAGCGTTAACAGTCACTTCACTTCCTTCAATGTCAGTGGTAGAGTACTTCACCTCGCCCATGCATTCAATAGCGGTGAGTGACGTTGACGCCTACCTTCAAGCCTATACTAAAGCCTCTATTTTTCACGAGACTTCAGACGTAACGATCGAACGTACAACACCAGTGACGCTCAACACGGGTGGTAAAATTGACAACCACTTCCAACACTGTAGTTGGTATAGAAACCCATTTGCAGCCATGTTTGCTATGTTGAGGAAGATTTAAAGAGGTGGAAAATCTTGTAGAATCCGATACCAATAACCAAGAAAAAGGCAAATTGTCGAATGTAATACTTGCTTATAGCGTAAGTGATGGGATAATTGAATTCAAATTGGTGAATAACGTATTCTGTTGATATTTTGTGGTAGTAGTAGGCTTGAATGTAGGTTCAATGTAGGGAAAGAAGCATGACAATAATAATGATTATTACGCTAACGAATGAGTAGCCTGTATCCAAGCAGTTAAATAAATAAATCAAATGGACTTAGCCTACAGCAGATTGTTGACTGTAATTATCGATACCTTCAATATTGAGTGTAAAGATATTACTAGCAACCTGGGATAGACTAAAGGAATTGATCAGACTTTTCAGAACGTACGAGTAGACGAGTAGTAATTGAAATGAGTTTACGCCTATTATTGATACTAGCATCCGCGACGATTCTAAACACTATATCGCTCGTTTTCTTTTTTACCAATCGCACTGCCTCATCTTGATACAAGTGTTGCCTGCAATCACTATAGAGGGATACTGTCAAGACTGTTTAGTTTTGAATAAACTTGGACTATACTGTACTGTAATGAACATCATTAACGGAGCAATCTATTATGACTTCAAGTCATTCAAATAAAATGGATATAAATCATTCTTTAATCCAACAACGATCAAAATTTCTTTCATGTTATTGCAATCGATCCAATCTTGACACCAATAAAGGGATTGCACTAGACTATACAAGTGGATATTCAAAATCTCTTTTATGTAAGTAATGAACTTTAAATTGTCATTAGGAGGACATCGTAATACATGCATTTCCTTGAACAACATTGCAATAAACAGTAGAAGTCGCTGTTGATAAACAGCAACACCGTAAATAGACTGAAAATGGACAGCAGTAGTACAGGTTAAAATTTAACCGTTAAATCGACGAATGCTGTAATATCTAGAAAGGGCTGGTGCCATCAACTGCAAAGTACTCATCCGTTCATGCTAAATTGCTGTATTATACGTACTATCTTGAATTTAGCAAAAGATCAATTTTCTTCCTTAATCGTGTTAATAACTATGTGATACTGTACATCGTTGCATGTTACTTTCCTATTACAACGTGATGATAGATCTAGATAAATCGATCATGATTGCAGTAACATCGTCATTTAATCCATCAACACTGGCATGCTTTCTATCCTTAATAAGGGCTGTAGTAATTGAACTGGAAAGAGTCCATCTAATTCATGTTAATTGGATGTTCTTATCAGACTTAAAATGAGCAAAAATTAAAATCATACGTCTTCACCATTGCCAATAACTCTTCCTTGAGATTAAACTACTCGAAGTAAAGCTCTTGACTACCCTCATTTTTTCACTATATACGAGTATTACATGCGGTCTTATACTATATACTGTATACTATAATTTACTAATGAAACAGATACAGACAAAAATTAATAATCAATTTCGATACTCTACGTCATATAGATCACTACTAAACACAAAACAAATCAACATAACTGTCATTCATAAAACAGACAGACTATATAATTTTACCCATACGAGAATATTAGATGGCAAGCTACGTTGCAGGAAGTGCTAGCACTGTTTGTTGTTATTTTTGCTATCACTATTGTACAAGTTTACTTCTGCAATCGACTTCTAAGAAATCCTGAATAAGCTAGATCAGAATAAAATTTGTTTGAGAACACCGCTATAAATCATTTTCAAGAATTTCTTAAACCTAGAGCCTGAAATATTCCATCTACTACTGATTAATTTCTAATCAAGTGAATATTTGAAACCAATTAAATTACATTTCTATAACTTAGTGTGTAGTACATCAGTATGACTAAAACATGGTGAAGGTAGTCGTGAGAAGAAAATATAAAAACTCTATTTTATCTGTTGTACATATAATTTATGCCTTTATGCTTCTGTGGTAAAACATAATTGCGTGCTTAGATACTGTTAATATATACTTACTTATACGTATTGTATACATAACTAACTAATTTTTCTAATGCAGAATTCAGACTTATATACGAAGCGTTGTCACCGAAAGTAAAGAAAATAATCATGCCGAGCGTACAACAACAGCAAAGTAATTATTCATTCAACGTACTAAGACTATGAAGTAGATAAATTATTTCAGCTAGTTAATGCTACACATATAGTTAGATAGTATACTTAGTAACAACAATAGAAATTTAAATTATGCAGTAGTAAGTTAGTTGGAGGATGAGTAATATTGGCTAGCCACTTCATGTCAGAATACTATAATTACTTCATCTTATGGGCTGTAAATTGTATTTCTATGCGTACTACTATCAATAACTGAGTATTAAACTATATTTATTTAGGTATTAATAAGCTGTTAACTATATTGGAGAAATTTCAAGCTAAAGCACCTGGAAGAACTGATGATATAAAACATCTAAAACAATTCTTTTCAAGTCCCGAATTTTTTGGATTAGCTAAGGTTTCATTATGCACATTATATATCACGTTAATTAATTCAACTACATGACTAGTTGATATTATGTTTAGTCAGTAAAACGAGTAGTAATGTTAGCCATTTTATACGTATCACTAACTTACAGATAAATTTATGTAATGAGTGATTATATTTGAAAAATAGAATTCTGTTTACTCCTACTCCTAGCTAAAATTTATTCTAATACGTTTTCATTGATTGCCATTCCGTAGATCAAGCAATCGTTATTAAAATATGATGATAAGTGTCTAAGACCGGTTAACCAGAATGCAAGCGATATATTTCACAAGGTTAGGGAAATAGATTTTATGCAGTTACAGCCTTAGTTACTCTATTCTACTCCTTCGCTATTATGTCAATAACTGTCGTAGGTCTAATTGCACATTACGAAATCTGTTAACTAGGTCAATGATCAACTGACTGCACAATCTAGCCCAATCATAGACGAACTCTTCAAAATCCTTAATGATCCGCACGTAGAGGTACTTACAATAGTTTTAATAAATTAAATGATTAACTTTCTTGTTGTAACCAACTTTTAATGTACTTAAGCCATTGCAGAAACCTGTTCAAAAATACCGCCATAAATTAAGTAACTTATGTTTGTGGACTTCTTTATAACGGTTCTCTAATAATTTTATTTTTAGAATATGCTTTCTGCTCATGATATGATTGCAGCTAAAGAATACTCTCCGGCGAGGGCACCGCCGGTCGTTGTAGATAATACTTCGCCTGGAAGTTCTATGAAGAATATTGAAGTCGCGAAAGGAGATGAACCGCTGGTAATTTATGCTCCATAGATGACATGGAAAAATTTTTATATTTGCTGAATGTGATACGTACAGTGCAGCAGAATGAACAGTTCTTTCATTTCTAAATTTTTAAGGGTGCAACAATTAAAGTCGATGAGAAGAATAGCTCCATCATTGTTGGTAGAGTGATTAGAGGCAGTATTGTGGACTCTTCTGGTAAACTGTTAATTTTATGACATAAGCCGTTGAGAATTTTCTTTTAATAATTAATTATTATGCAATGAACAATGAAACTTTCAGGTTTAGTAAAAGTAGGAGATGAATTACACGAAATTAATGGTCGGTGTGTTGATGGACTGACGCTAGATGAGGTCGCTGACATGGTCGGCAGTCTTCGTGGTAATGTGAAAATTAAATTATACCCAAGTAGTAACCCGAATCCCGAAAAAGTCGAGGTAAAACCGAATTATATTTTATCAAAAACTATAGTTTTTTTATGTAAATTCGTTTGAGACATGTATATCATTCACAACTGTCGTATAATCATTGCGTTTTCTTTATTATGGAAATTGTAGATACACTTAAAAGCCAACTTTTCATATGACTATAGAGATGATAAAGAAATGCCTTGTTCAGATCTTAGAATGAGCTTTCTTAAAGGCGATATTTTACGCATCTTCAGCAAGGACGATGATTGGTGGCAGGTAGATTTTAGACGCACGCACTTCTAAATATTAAATTTAAGTAAATTATATACTAGAGTATAATTCTAAGAACTCGTATTTGCTACATCTAACGTAAACTTGTCAATTATATTAATAAAATTTGATTTTTATAATATCTACTCTATTTACAAAGCTATAAAATTTTTGCAGGCTAGCAAAATCGGCCGCAATAACAATGCCAGCCCAGTAGGATTAATACCCGGAGAAGATTTGCAAAAACGGTATTCGATCTTAATTACATCCCACAAAATACTGTTAATTATTTCTTACTCTCGTTTATTCAATTTGTATCTAGGCGCAAAGTTAAAGAAATAACAATAGCAGGAAATGGTAAAGCAAATAAAAAGAATAAAAGGAATAAAAAGAAAAAAGATAATGTTAGAGTTTTTGAAGCAAATCAAGATCCAGGTATTGCTCTTTATTAATTTTCGGAAATGATAAACAATTATTGGACGTTATCGTTTATGCTTGTAATTGTCCTATAATGGTTGCTCATAACATAATTCAATCACTAATTTATTAGGCCAAAGCATAGATGATATCATTACTTACGAAGAAGTTAAATTGATAGCTCCAATAAGAGATGTATTAAGACCACTGGTTGTAGTAGGTCGGTAATTTTATCAAAAGTAGCTACTGCATCCTATATTTTTTGGCTTCATGTTATGTTAAATTATTTTACAATTGATAAATTAATATAGGACCACCTAAAGTTGGACGTAATGAATTGAAACGTGTTCTGATTGCCGTCGATCCTGCGCTTTTCTGTACTGCAATTCCACGTAAGGCTAAGCAGAATGATATATTCATATTTGTTAATTCTTAAATTCTGTTCGATCGTTGTATAAATTGTGCCCTTATTTGGCATTAATATTAACCTACTAACATTTATAGATACTACAAGACCTAAAGAACCTTCAGAAGTTGACGGAAAAGACTATTATTTTGTGGAAAGGAGGGTTATGGAAACGCAAGTTAGACGTAATAAATTTGTTGAATATGGTGAATTTAATGGCCATTTATATGGAGTAAGCATAGATTCAATAAAAAAGGAAGCTGCATCTGGAAGAGTTTGCATAGTTGACTTAAGAGGAGAGGTAACCATTGTATTTTTTTGGAAGTTTCAGCCTAAATACGGTACAGCATTTTACATTACTAAATCTGACAACTATAGTGATGGATTGATGATAATTGTCCTTATTAAACAATTGTTAGATTTATGATATCAATTTTGTATGTAAACAGAGTTAAGGATATCTTACTGCTTTTTAGTCTTTAAAAGCTGCAAGGATCCCTGAAATTAAACCATTTGTCGCCTACATCAAGCCGCCCCCGATTGAGAAACTTCGTGATACTCGCGCTACTGATAAATCAAAAGTCGATGCGAACACTCAAGTATTCACGGTAAAATCTGAATTAGTTATTATGCGAGTATAATGCAGATTACTTTAAGTCAGTACTAATAATGTCCATCAACTCACTCAATTGATTACTATACATTTCTGGCTTAATAGGAAGCAGACTTTAGGGAAATGTTAGAAATTGGTCAAGAATATGAAACACTGTATGGCCATATGTTCGATGTTGTCATAGTAAACGATAAATTGCAAGATGCCGTTAGCATGCTACAAGAAGCAGTTAACAATATGATAAATAGGCCACAATGGGTTCCAGCTAGCTGGGTTTCATCTTAATTGTTAACTTGTTTCTATCTTCTATTTACATCAAATTAGCGTTAACAGAACATTTTCAGCAGTGCTTAAATCTAGGGATATCATCATGTGTATGTGTACAAGTTTGTCAGATCGTTGGTAATTAAAAATAGCTGTAGAATTTGTTACCTCTTAAAATACAGCTTTCCAGTATAATGTACATTGATGTTAAAGTTACCCTTGTTAATTTTTGTAAACTAGCGATATGTACCAACCACTACCGTACTTCTCTAATGTACGGACGATATTTTAAACTATGGGTGTAAAGTATCCTACTGTAACCGAAAGACTGTCGTATCTCTCTATCATGCGATCCAATGATAGATGCCAATACGACAATAATTAAATTCAAAAATGGCGATCTAATGTTTAATATTAACAACATTAGTATATCTAGCGAACTATTAACCAAAAAATGGGTATATTAATTATGAGCTATTTTATTACCTCAGTAACAGATTACAATATTAGTTAGGATTCGATTTCTAAAATTTAATTTAATCTTTTTGAAAAAAATTCATATTCAATAAAATTTCGATATTTAGGAAATTTATTGTCATTACTTCGATAGGTACGATAGGTATACCCTATTAGCTGATAAATAATATAACCAAAGACTACGAAGTTTCCAATTTGAAGCTCTGTACTATAGTAGTCATTCAAATACATAAAGTAGATAAAAGGACAAATGCAGTACGCAGTTAGTGTTTATTAAATAGATTTTGTAAAATACATGTAAAGTTAGCTGACAACTGTCACCAAATTTTGCAAAATAGCGGGATTCTGAGATGGTAGCTTACTGCGGGGTAATCCATTAAGCTAGTCTAAAGGAAAAATTCGTTTTATAACAAAGCCCCTTTAACACTAGTTGACGCGCACTTTCAATAGCTATGTTATTCGGTATCGTGCATTATAGATAAAATGGCTTTGTGATTTCTTCATTCCTAAAATTCTCTGTAGAAAGATCCACAAATTAAAATAAAATAAACTACTTTATTATTTGGCATAAGGCATTGCTTGATAGCGATTTAAATTTCTCTCATTCAAGTTTCATCTTGCAGTTCATAAAACGAAAAGATATTACTTACTATTTCTATATACTCGTACAGTACCATAACAGCTATAAATAAATTTCCATTTATAATTTCAGGAACTTAATGAACTCTTTAATTATTATATTAAACCGTACCTTCAAGAAAGGATTACAACTTCGAATCAAGTGAATAATATAAATTTTTCAACACTGATAACACATTAATGAGGAATGTGTAGAAGATTGACTATTGGTCGAAGAGCTGAGGAACAAGGTTCGAGGCGATATAAACAAGACGCGGATCATGTTAAAGGGCTCCTATACTGTAGCTGTTACGATATACTATTTTGTATAGGGAAAATTGTGAGTCGATTGTAGTTAATATAGGGAAGTAGTATTACAACCTTATATCAAGAGATATAACCGCAGATAGAAAGTATAAATCTATAATACATCCTACCAGCATTAGAATTAAGGGAAATTAGCGTCATATCGTTTCATGCCATGTAACACATGAATTACAGAACACGTACAGTACACATAGTTGACAAAGTTTCACTTCAATCTATGTATAATTTGCCAATGTTAAACTATTTTAATAACTAAGCACGCTGAATAGAGATTTCTTTTCGAAAATTCGTTAAGTCAGTTCTTGACGGATAAACTACTTTAAGGCTACCTTCTTGATTTCCGACTCGAACTTGTTCCAATAAAATCGATTTTGGTTCGGATTCCAGAACCTTGTCCGAGTTTATAACTAATTCTGCGATATTTTCAATCAACGTATTCATAACTTTCTTACAAGCTGCTAGGCTCTTTGAGGAGGTAACTTCTAATAATATTTCTTTAGAGGCAGGAGAAATCTGAAAGAGATTTCAAAAGAAGTTTGCCAAATGAAGTAGTTGTATAAATTATTATATGAGAGACAATAACATGTATCAGGTAGTTAATTTGCGTAACTTATAAACAGACTTGATATTATTATTACATACATCAATACACGGCATAATCAATAATAAATAAACTTTCTAACATACAAATTCTTGAATTACATTATTTATGACAGGTTTACTTAATCAAACTTTTTAACAACTTAACAGCTTCTATGCAATTATATACTTCTTTACGATTACATTTATTGAAAGTTGGCCGGTATCGAAATTAGTTCTACAACTCGAGAGAGTAAATAGGTAAACTTAAAATAATGTATATAGGGACTTTTATACGTCTCACCTTGGTTTTTTCTGAATTGACTAGAGGTGGTAATGATATAACGTTACTTTTACAATCTATCAGGCAAGCAAGTATTTTACTCTCTTTTACCAGTGTTAGGTACCTATCAACAAGAGCAATTTATGTGAAAATATAGCTACAACAATAACATTACATTAAATGCATCTTTAAAGAAATTACAGTTTACAATGTATTAGACTCGCTCATTTTTTATGCTTTAAATTTGATACAGTCTTATAGTCTATTATACTAAAATACTATAATCTGATGAATTATCTATATATATATATACATATAACATATACATAAATGCAAATCGCATTTGTTAACTGTGGACAAACTTAATAATACGAGTATTATTAACAAGATTACAAATAGCAATCAGAATGATCAAGCTGTAGATATTTACTTTTGCAACCCAGAATTTTTATTCTTTCTCTTTGCTTGCCCTGTGACGTTACTATCCTTTACTAGCTGATCTATAAATTGTTTGGCTGTAACCGCACATTCTTTATCCAATGGTATGATGGAAATTTTTTCCGGTGCTTCAGCTTGGTATGATAAAGGAAATTCAACCTTGCTATAGTCATGAGTAGCTATAGTGGCCAGCATTCTCTTGTCACAGATAGTATCGTGTAGTTTGGTCTAAATTAGAAATTAGAAATTGACTATTTTAAGAATGGATAAAATTCTTGAGTTCTTCTCCTCAATTGTGCAATCTACACAATCATGGCGTAAAGTCGAGTAAATATCAGCAATTAATATAGCATTATCTAAGATTAATAATACCTGCAAGGCAATAAATTTCTTAAATACGTCCTCACGACTAAAATCCACTCCTTTCAATATACAGCAAACTATATATGGTCGAACGTCTAATACATTACCAGCGGAATATATTTTTATATCTGGTGTTGGTAGTATACGTACTTCCAACGCAATCAACTGATCTTCCGAATTTGCAGAAGTATCATTGTCAGCTTGGTCCGGCGATTTACCAGCTGTTAGAAATACAATCAGTTTTTGTTTTGAGATTTTTGTAGTATAACAATATTCCATTTATCCCTACATGCATGAGTGTAAGTATGTTTAAATTTAAACTAATAGCTAGCGAAAAAGTGCGATATCTTCTAACTTATCATACAATTTACCTCCCTTTTTACTGATTTGGCTATCAGCAGTTGCTTTCTTATTACAGTTACGAAGGTATTCAATCAGTAGCTTGCTATTGTTTTGCTTGGTTAATTTAATACACTTCCTATCCTTGATAGGATTATCCATTAAAGTTAACTCTTTCAATTTGCTACATAGCGCAATTTGATGAGGAACTAACTCTATTTTATTACCCGTAAAATCTAAGGTCTTTAATTGATTTAAGGACGCAATAGCATCGGTTACACCATGAATCGTATTATTAGCAGCTCTAAATTCACAAAGATTACTTGCATGATAGAATTGATTGGGCAACTGACTCAACTTATTATTGCTGACATTGATTCTAGTTAAAGCTGCTAATTGACCCATGGATGCTGGTAGATCCATTAATTGATTACAAACTAAATTAAGATCAGTAAGCTGCTCCAGTTGGCCAATTTCATGGGGTAATTTTTCCAAATTATTGTAGGATAAATCCAATAATTTCAACTTGGTAAATTGACCAATACTGCTTGGAATGGACGTCAACTTGTTATGATCCAAGATTAAATTTTTTAAATTGATCAAGTTGCCAATATCCTCAGGTAACTGTGACAAGCAAGTATGGCTAATTCTAAGGAAATTGAGATTGGTTAATTTGCAGATATTCGCATGTAGACCGCCGTGTTTTTCGATTCTTGCATTGATATTGCTACCATGGAGTACAAGTTCATAGCGACGTTCTTGAACAACAGTATCGATTTCCGGCCAATTTTGATCGTCCATTTTAGGTCTCTAGGCTGCAGCACAGTTCTATATGGCCAAGAAGAAACATTGCTACAACGGTATTAACGGCCACTCACTGAATCCTATCGTAGTTCTTAGTGGTTTCGTATAGGACAATCAGGCTCATTCCAACTATCGCCTGTTCTTATACTGTACTATATGCTAGTATGTAGCCCTTGATACCGTAAGCTCAGTATACAGTACATACACAGTAGGTTATTTTCATGATACCTTTAGTTTTGTGCTTGATTGAAATTATTCAACAGTACTATATACAGAAGAATACATGCAAATTACAACGTAAAAAGTCCAAGAATAGTAGCTGTTCAACACAACATTGTCAATATTTTATTCTATTTCCTTCACTCCGTTCACATGAACGGGTATTTTTTATTAGTAAATAGTAATAAGACGATCGCATTAGCAGTAAGTTCTATAACTTAGAACCGTTCCATTGCAAGCCTTCCTTTATTATAGGACAGTGCATATATATACATATGTGCACCGATATTGTGCAACGAATAGTGGCGTACTGAATGGTAGTTCCGCTTACTCACCTAGCTTTAGTTGCAAAGCCTTTCTTAAATACTAATTACAATTGTCGAAACATCTAATCTATATGATGATATGGCTTCGAGTTGATCATGACGTCAATTTTTAATTATATACGAGTATAATGTTCAAAATTGTATATCATTTTGTTTGCATTTTCCATCACGTCAATTGAATTGTCCATCTTTAAACTACCCATCGACACAAAATCCACATTTAGATCATGACGTCATGAAAACTATTCCTACGGCTTAAGCTGCAATTGCCAGCAAATCGATCCATTGATCATATTGTACTAAGTGATCGTGCAGTATTAGAAGGGGAAATCAATGATTTGAGTCCCTATCTGGTTTCTTATTGAATGCCATCATTCTGCAATGAATTTCTCAAGTTCAATTCAAGCGATTTGAACACCTTCTAAAAGAAAAGGATTAGATGGTACAGCACTGACTCTGCGGTCTTTATTATTCCATAGTACTGTATACGCGTATATACAGGGTGTACTGCATAAGACCGGTGTTACGACGTGACTTGTAAAATGGTTGGAGCAACCATATATGTTAGTTACGATGTAACAGCAACTGATAGTTTGTATTAAAAACCTGACAGAAATAGAATTATTTAATACTGCGATAAAAAGTAATTAAAATATCAAGAGCCAATTGCTCAAGGTTGTATTGATCTGTTTGTATAGAATTGGAAGCAAATTGAAAGTAAGACTGCAATAAAAAGTAATCAAAATATCAAGAGCCAATTAAACCTGACAGAAATAGAATTATTTAATACTGTGATAAAAAGTAATCAAAATATCAAGAGCCAATTGCTCAAGGTTGCATTGATCTGTCTGTATAGAATTGGAAGCAAATTGAAAGTAATACTGCAATAAAAAGTAATCAAAATATCAAGAGCCAATTGCTCCAGGCAGTACTAATCTGTCGGTACAGAATTGGAGGCAAATTGAAAGTAATACTGCTATAAAAAGTAATCAAAATATCAAGAGCCAATTACTCAAGGTTGTACTGATCTATCTGCGTGGAATTGGAGCCAAATTGAAGCATATTTCTTCATAATTTAAAGTAGTTTAATGGCAACACTATAGCTGAACAATTAAGTGAGCATCTTTCAACCATTTTAGGGGGCTCGCCACGTCCCTGTAATAATAGTGGTCTTACGGTACGCTACAGTACAGTGTACAGTATACTAAATGTCGTTGACTATGAGTACAGTACAGTACTCTCTAAAACGGATTTGTACTGTACAGTACTGTCGTGTACGGTGCCTACTGTACAGTGTACAGTGTACAGTAGCGTACACTGTACACTGTATCGATAGCGAGAGGAGTACTGTACTAGTAGCACTTAGCACTGACGTCATACTAGTAACGAGTACGAGTTCACGACATTTGTATAACAGTACCGTTGTTCCACGGAAAGTCACAGCTAGTCCAAGACTTTCACTTACCAGTCATTGACTAGGAAAAGCACAAAACATTTTTTTCAACAGCCTCTTTCCAATCCAAGATCAAGATGAGTAAAGTAAGTTTAGTACAGGATTGAATAGTCTTGACTTTGAGACTAGAAATAGGTCTAAGCAATTGTTGAAGCTTTTACAGTATTGACTGCGTGATTATTATGATAATATTGTAATATGCTGAGACAATTAATGTACAAGTGAAGTCAAGATGTAGACGAGACAACAAGTCAATTTCTCTCTTGCTTGTTTCTTAAGAGAGTTTCATTTCTGCTTTTAAAATAATCTTTAGGCAATGCGACGGAAAGCGACGAAAAGTCCTAGTGAAGAATTATCATTGAGCAATTGTGTTATCATACGTCCAGAGGATTTATCGTCAGATAAAACTCCGTAAGTCAAAGGAATAGTCAATGTGAAAAGTCTATCTGACATAGACGACTTTACTCTAGACTAGCCACTTCCAGGATGATAATTATTACCTCTAAGGTATATTATACGGTCTTGACAGTATCAACAAACGTTGCTTAGGTTTCATCATTTTCGCAATGACATTGTATACTACTACATTGCAAGACTTGAACAAAAATCAAAACAAAATATACAACGACTATAGTTTACAATTAAAACAAACTGCCACAGGCATAGCACTACTTTGTAGTTTATATCATTGATGTATTCGAAATGAGAAGTTGATAGACCACTCCCTGATAGACTACATACTTAATTTTGATAAGCTAACAGTGTAAACGAACTTTGTATAACTCTTAATCAACATACAGCCTGAGAAATAACACATGTACCAAATATGAGTTTAGAAGAAAGAGACTTGATATACTCCAGTGATCATGCATACGCGTATACAGCCTATAGGTTGTGTCGACTATTTGCATCATACTCTTACACTATTGTGCACTCTTTGTAACAATAGGTATATCCAATTTTCAAGTGCACCTGGCAACGAATTTATTGTTGCTATAAGAAATTCTACTGCAATTCCTACGGGTACGATTGGTTTTAACTATGCACAGGTACAAAAATAATTAATTTGTAAGATACTACAAATGCTTAACATAATAATATCGACCCTGAACATTTTATAGACATACATAGTACAGTAGAAGATATACGAGAGGTCGATTACTAGGTAATCATACTGTACTTCATACTGTCTCATCGCTTGATAATTAACACTACTTACAGTAGTCCTACTGTACTTAATATGATCATATATTGTTTACTAGGACAAAAATAGATAGATTGAAACTATCACGACCTATGCAATCAACTAATTAATAGACACCTCAAAAATAAATAATTCAATTAAAAGTAATTGCAACCATCTCCAAATCGTTATAAATCATCGGTGCTGTAGAACAGCAAATTTAACTTACTGTACTGCTATATTTATCCCACAATTTTTATAAATGTACAATTGATAAGATGAACGTCCAAGGCCTTTGATACCATTTCTACATATCAAGTTTATAATCACCTTGCATAAACAACTAGTCCTTATGCATACTTTTACCATTATAGTAATAAACTACTCTGTCTATATACACTACAACAAAGCACAGTACTGTACTCATGATGAATTAAACAAGTTTCTGACCTGTATCTAAAAGCTACTTTAGTAATCTTATTTATTTGAATTTGACACCAAGTTGTGGTTTTTAACATGGATTTTTAACTTAATCATATCCTTCCTCCTTAATGTAGAGAGAATGGAGTAGAATATCATTAAATCAAGATATTGAACGTAAGTGTTTATACTTATCGAGCATAGTATGTATGTAGCCCTAGGCTTATTAGTAGCAATCATATCGAATGATAACGGTATTCCTACATTTGACGTATGCTGTCAATGCAATATCATACCACAATTTAGACTCTTACTTTAGTTAGAGCCTTGATATATGGTACATTGGTACAATGTAATTATAGAAGATGTTTTTAAAATTATTCAGTACAACCATATCGATTTAGCAAATCATCCCTATTAGCACAAGTCACCTTTGAGGTCGATTTCTTTATTAAGAAAAAGTAAGTAACGCGACAAACGTTATCCTTTAAAATTTCTTTGAATACTATTCAACGACCTGAAATAACGTTTACATTCTATCGGCCTAATTAGAGCAACTCCTGAATCGTTAAATACTGATGAAATAGCGAAGGAATTTTCTATCAATTATCCTTCTTTCCCTTTGACGAAAAATCAAGTGGTATAACAACAGTAATATTACAAACGCATTTATTTCCTGCTATTAATGTGCAACGGTAATATAATTTACTTTACAGCTCAATATCAGTTTTAAGAAGAAGCTTCTTTCATTAAGAGTCAAGAAACTAATAGGTGCATTCAAAAAACTTAAAATGTTACAGTTTTATCGGTGAAAAAATTTCACTGTAAATTCTTATAATATATTGCAGTCATAATGACTCTATTCACTAAAATAACTTTTAAAATTCCTTAGTTGCTGACGTCTCGGCCTTGAAATCAGACGGAGATCGAAAAAAAAATCCTTCAAGTCTAGAGGTCGTACGATCGAAATATGAAACAGTACTTATTATATACTTAAAATTTACAATCTTAATCTTCGAATTATAGGCCAATATTGGACTTACAATGGCAAATACAGAATTTTCATTTGAAAAAGTTCAGGTACATTAGCAGTAAATATTGTCACATAACAATGGATTGTATATTAAAATCGAACTTTTATCTAATGTTTTGTTACAATCTTATCATCTTGATAAAAGGAATCGGTAATAAATTTGGTTGGTTCTAAGAAAAGGTATACATTTGAATATTCAATAATACTTCAACTTTATTATTGCCTACTGTGATGCTTGATTGCTAGAGTTATCTTTGTTTACAACCATATTCACCTATGCTACATAATAATTATAGTGGAGCAGGCTCGCAGGTCTCTATCATAAATCCTGATTGGAATTTTAAGGAAATGGGCATCGGTGGTTTAAATAAGGTAACTCGTATTACTTTCTGCATCTAGCGAATTAAAATTGTATCTTTTTTCGGCGGCGATAATTGGATTACACACAATATAAATTTACACTACTATACCATAACGAGCTCCTTTAACTTTTGTAGGAATTCTCCAATATTTTCAGGAGAGCATTTGCGTCACGTGTGTTCCCTCCTGATATTGTGGATCAGTTAGGTAAGTTTAGGTTTATATAAAATTTTCGTGCTTAAAAAAAAATCAGATTTCTTATTAAAAACTACGCTTATGATCTCAGGTATTAAACACGTAAGAGGAATTCTGTTATATGGCCCTCCGGGTACGTAATAATATCGGCGTCATGCCGAATTATTGTTTACTATACTTAAACTAGACCAGAATGCCAATATTCTATACTATGATTTAAGGCACCGGTAAAACCTTAATGGCACGACAAATTGGCAAGATGTTAAACGCTCGAGAGCCACAAATTGTTAACGGACCTGGTAAATATTAAAATACGTACATTTTAGTATATAAATACATTATGTATATACATCACTATAATTGTAAGTGTATAGCGGCCTTTCATCTTTACTCTATTAAGCAACTATGCCTAATATATGCTGATTATTATAGAAATATTGAATAAATACGTTGGAGAATCGGAAGCTAACATAAGGTCAAAATTTAAAGTTAGAATATACGTATGTAAAGTCGAGCTTTTATTAATTTGAACAATGACCATTTTATATTCCCTCTGAAACTATTAGAAAACTCTTTGCTGCTGCAGAAGAAGAACAAAAACGAGTAATGTTAAACATTCAGTAATATCATTCAATAAACCTAAATGTTAATTCTACTGTTATTTTGATCTACTCATTATAGCTTGGACTGAATAGCGGTCTACATATAATCATTTTCGATGAAATTGACGCTATTTGCAAACAAAGAGGAACCGCTGTAAGTTTAGAATCGTTATTGTTTCATTTCCATGGGATACAAATTCTTTACAATGAAAATCATTTTGATTTTGATTTAAACACATAAAATTAGAGCGGGAGCACAGGCGTTGGCGACACCGTTGTTAACCAACTATTATCAAAGGTATAGAAATTGCCTTAATTGTTTTAGATACGAAACTATCAACGTATTGACCCTTTGATTCAAGTACTAAACTATACTCTATATGTACCTTCTAAATAGATCGATGGTGTAGAACAACTTAATAACATTCTCATAATTGGTATGAATATTTGCATTTCAATAATTGTAGTCTAATAGCTATGATGTTAATGCTATCTGTATTTTTCAATCATTGTTCTTAGGAATGACTAACAGGAAGGATTTGATGGATGAGGCTTTACTGCGACCAGGACGTCTGGAAGTTCAAATGGAGATTGGTTAGTCAACTCAATGTAAACCTACATAATCAATGTTGTGTAGATAGTAACGTACTCAAACTCTTAATACATCTACTTAATTAAGGATTACCCAATAAAGATGGAAGAGTAGAAATTTTGAAAATTCATACGAACAAACTTACTGAAAATGATAAACTGGATAGTAGTGTGGATATTCTCGAATTAAGTAAAGCCACTAAAAATTTTAGTGGTGCAGAGATTGAAGGTTTAGTTCGCAGTGCTGTATCAATGGCGATGAATCGTTACGTAAAGGTCAGTAAATTATATTAGAATATCATAAGAAATAAAATTTATTCCATGAAACCTTGATATCAACTCAACGCATATCTACATGTAGGCAAAATCAACCGTAGAAATAGATGAGGATGCTCTTAACAAATTAAAAATAAGCATGGATGACTTTCGGAATGCATTGCTTTATGATATCAAACCTGTAAGAAATTAATCATTCTTTCATAGTACTATAGAATACATAATATTATATTATAATGGTAATATAGTTATGAAATTGATTAACAATGATACGTGCTACGTAGGCTTTTGGAGTGAGTGAAGAAGATCTCGGAAGATTTATTGCAAATGGTAAATTTAGATAAGACAAATGTTTAGACGCGTGCGTTTTATTTTCTAACTGTATGCTATATTGTTACTGTAAACTTCTAGTATGGTCAAAGCTGTTATGAAGAACTTCTTATTTCCTATATTTTGCTTACAGGAATCGTAATGTGGGGAGATCCAGTCAAGTACATATTAGATAGCGGAAAGCTGTTTTGTGAACAGGTTGAAAGAGATGTACACTCACGCACTCTCAATGTTTTATTATCAGGTATCTTACATCTTTCTGTAAAACTATTTATGTCGTCTCTTTATTTACAAACTGTTATAACTCGATCTTCAGGATCTACCGGATCTGGTAAAACAGCTCTTGCTGTAAAGATTGCACAACAATCAGGATTCCCATTTGTCAAAATTACTTCTAAGCACAATATCCCAAGACATTCTGATCAAGCAAAGGTCCAAGCTTTGGATAAGGTTAATTGCAATTAAAATCGAGATAAATCCTTTTGCAAATATTAATTATTATTCTAATAGATTATAAACCAAGATAATTTCTATATCTTTGCTATAGCTTTTTGAAGATGCATACAAATCAGAGCTTAGTTGCATTATATTGGATAATTTGGAAGTTCTATTAGGTAGGTTAACTAATAAATATCTAAGCCATTTATAGGAAACATAATAAATATATCATTTCATGTTTGTATCGGCATTTAGATTATGCACCAATCGGCCCTCGTTTCTGTAATCCAGTATTACAGATATTAATCACATTACTAGGAGATACTCCGCCCAAAGTATGTAATATATGTGTGTATATATTTGCATCTTTTAGAATTACTTATATGTCATTAACTTTTGTTATACCTTCATCTAATAATCTATAATAATTACATTACTTAAATTTTTGTAGAACCATCGATTGCTTGTGATTGCTACTACTGGAGAACTTGAGTTTATAGAACTAGTAAGACTGGCGAAGCAATTTCATATTGTTCACGTAGAAAATCTAAGAACTAGTGAGCAGGTCATGGCGGCTGTAAAGGTAAACAAAATCAATGTTACTAAAATATGATCGAATAAGCGAATGGCCAAAAACTGATATTAACAGATATCTACTATAACTTTTGATGACCAGGAGTATGGATGGTTCAATGATAAGGAATTGGATGATTTAAAAAAGTCATTAGATAAGTGTTCTCAGTAAGTATTCTGGTAGCTATAGAATATTGAATGTAAAAGTAACAAGCACTGATGGCGATGACTATCACTAATTAATTAATATAATCATTTACAGCATTGATATACCAATAAAGATATTGATATCCCTGAGCGCAATCGCTAATAGGGTAAGATTTTGAGTTTTTTGTTGATATTTGATAATATGCATACAAAATGGGGGCTATTTGTATGATATTGTAGGGAGCTGAAGATATTAAAATCAAGACATTAATAAGTTTACTAGAGCAAAAGAAACTGTGAGTGCATTACGAGTAAAGCTATTTTGTTATCAGGACATGGTACTAATTAGTTCATGTTTTATCTTGTAGAATTCTACGATTTTAAGGAAATCTCGATGATCCGAAATAATACAGGCGTTAAAAATAGTGAAAGCTAGTTTAACTTAGTCAGTGTATTATACTCAATTATCATCTATTTCTATACAATGAGTAGCTACGTATCCTAAATACATGCAATACCTTGATATAAAGTATGATACAGTAAATAAGATGGCACATATAGTTTATATATAAATAATGCAATGAAGTCAACATTCAGACTGTAATACATGGTTTATGAATGATCAAACAATTCATTACAGTATCATCGACGTTCTTAAAGCCATTCCACATGCTATATTGTGATCAAATAACTAAAAAATGAATAAAATCAAATTAGGTACCGTATGGGTATAGAAATCATTTGTTTCAAAGTTCAAACTAAATCAGACCTGAGCAGACTTTGACTAGATCTAACTATTGACTGACATTTATAGTGGCAAAGCAGCAATAGCACCTTAACATATTAAATGATATTTTATTAAATTGTCGCACAACGATTATGTGTTGTTGAGACCAATCGCAGTTATAACATTCGTGAACCAGTTAACATTTGCAACTGATAAAAAATTCAAATACGTCCTGTATGTCCAAAGTTCAGCATTAACTAAAATTTACAAGTGATAGCTGGTTGGACTGCTATTGTACAGCAGCTATATAATGATTTGCATATGTATACGTACATATATGTATTCTATATGCATCGTTATTACGCTACAGAGGCAAAACGCACAGATCAGTACGTAATAAATGATATTATAATTTGCTGCTAAAATTAGGAGGCTCATTTTTCCTCTTTTAACTTGTAACTATTTTCTTAGATAATCCAGCAATTTAAAGACTTTTTAACATTACATCAAGCTCTGAAATTAAAAACTAACTGTACTGTATTATTTACTATAATAGCTGACTGGATACAAGGGTTTACAAAATATTATTATACAGTCTATCGAGTATTTACCGTGTAGATAGTGAGCAAGCGAAATTATTTCTCTCAACAAGCTAACTTTAATATACTGTATCGTTCAAGATATTACAACTTATACACTGATGTATGCAATATCGTTGTTAGGTGTTCTCGGTTGATATTGCTAACAGGCTGTCACAATACATACCATTTCTTTAGTACTGTGAAATAGCTCCAGAATTACAGTCACTATACCGTAGTCAATTTCGATATTGCATCCGACATACAAACTGCATACAGTCGTAAAAGGCCATCGCAAATAGTTTCGCTGTGCTCCACGCTTTTTGTCAATTCAAAGCCTTACTGCAATTTTTCAACTGCTTAGGCCAGCTAATAAACGGCTTATTAGAGATACATCGATAGCGCATAGTAGTCTTCTGCTGTAAAATGGTACAGGTGCTTACTGGCTTGCAATAGAACAAAGATTGAATCGCTGTAAAAACGACGTTATTTACATCAAGCAACGTACCAAGAGAATGGATAAATTCGACATTTCTCTATTTAGGACCCCAATGCATCGCTTTGAAGCCAAAGTTAAAGCTATCTGTGATGATTTTATCGTTCATGAGATTGATCTAAATGGCAATATCATACAGTTATCGGATCAGCCTGAAACTGTCAATGTATCAATGTTAGCACAAACCACCGATACTAGCATTGCAAGTGATCATCAGCAATATTGGAATGTTGACGTGGAGAACTTTGAAGAAATAAATACTAATTTAGCGAATGTTATAACCGAGCAACAATTACAAAGTTTACAACAATTAGCTCATCAGCATCATCAGGCTGATAGTGAGGATAGCCATCACCAAATTATCATCGGTTTAGTGCAAGATAAAAGTAAGAGAACGATCATTCGACAATCCATTAGTCTGCTTTATCCTAATTTACAAACGGTTTTGCAATGTCAAAATGGTGACAAAATAATAATAGTCGAGCCCAACCCAAATTATAACCAGTTAAAAATTTTATTACCTGAACATCAAGTTGACGGCCTGCTACGTTTTATAAGCAAAGTTCATATTACTAAATGTGGCCATTATACGATTGATGTTCATGAATTAGATAAAGATCAAAGAAGACAATTACATCATCGCATCTCCCATTTATTTGGTAAATTTATAGAAAGTAAAACTATAGCAAAAGTGAATAAAAACGACAAAACATCCAAGAATTGTATTATTGTTCGCTATAAAAGTCGAATTAGAAATCGCTATTATAAGGATAAGGATAATAATGACAATCCCTTGTACTTAAAATTTATTCTCCGAAAGCGTAATGTAGAAACACTAGATGCTATTCATAAAATAGCCAAAGCATTAGGCTGTCATCTATCTGACTTCAGCTATGCAGGTATTAAAGACTGTAGGGCAATAACTTACCAACAAGTTACTGTCAAGAACGTGAAACCGCAGCAAATGATAAATGCACTTCAGAAAATAAAATCTCAAGAACATATCCAATATGGCAATTACCAATTTATTCACACCCCAATCAGGTTAGGACAACTAAAAGGTAATCGATTTCGTATTCTTTTACGAGACATAAGACTGCAAGACCATGATTCAAGCCTGATAGATATTGCTGATTTACATAGCCAAATCATTCAATCAATGGAAGAAGTTAAAAAACAAGGATTTATCAATTACTTTGGAAATCAAAGATTTGGTAAAACAATATCAACAGTAAACAGTTATGACATAGGATTAGCCATGCTAAGAAGAGATGAAAAAATGGCTGTTGAATTGATACTGTCAACAGTTGACGAAGATATAAGTGATAATGCAACAATGCAAGCCCTAAAATATTATCACACCAGTGGAGATTTAGTTAGTACTCTTAAAAAAATACCATCTTATAAATCAAGAGTGTACTTGATCTTGAAAGCACTGCATCGCTATGGTCAAAATATTGAAGGTTATAGAAAAGCATTACTAAATATCCCTCATAATATGAGAAAGATTTATATTCACAGTTATTGCAGCCTATTATGGAATCGTCTAGTAAATTATCGAATAGAAAAGTATGGATACAATGTTGTAGAAGGTGATTTAGTCTTGCTTGGGAATGTGGATAATAAGCCTGATAGTACTGATACCGATGCAATTAATCAAGATCAATTGGTGAAATTAGTAACAAAAACTGATCTTGCACTAAACAAATACAATATTTATGATGTTGTACTACCTTTATTGGGCAGCAAGACAATCTATCCAAGTAATACATCCGGCTCAGTTTACAAGGATATGCTAGCAAACGATGGTATTAATGATAGTAGCTTTGTTAATCCAATGCTAAATATTAAAATTAAAGGAGCTTATAGAAAAATTCTATCTGTACCCAAAGATGTAAATTTTTCGTTACATATCCTAAATTGTCAGCATTTACACGACGATTGTCATGACTGTTGTTCCAATATCTTAAAAAATCAAACTTGTAATTCACGTTTCCATTTTAAATTGGAAATGACTCTTAATCCAGGTAGTTATGCAACAGTATGTCTAAGGGAAATAACTAATAACGATGCAATTATATAACATTCACTGAATAGAATCAAAAGTATGATTACGGTTTCGAATAAATCGAAGTAAAGAGTCTATTCTATTTAATAAGATGTCGACGGAATTTATTTATTTATAACTAGATGTTAAATTATAATTACTGTTCATATTTGCATACTCAAGTTTTAAATTAACCGATGATTAAATTTGAATATAGTATGCTAATTTATTTTTATTGAACATTTTTCGTGTATTATATGTATTTAATGCCGATGCAACCTAACTAGTAATTAATACTATTTAATATAATTCGATCATATAGTTTTTATTTATACTATCTTCTTCGATATTTTTGATGGCATTGAAAGGCCTAGAAATTATCGCCTGCACTATAATTGTTTACTACCAAAATCTGAAGAAAATCCATAGTACTGCTAATTATGCCCAACTACAGTAGATTTATTTATGAATTCTATTTGACAGATCGTAGGTTACTGGAGAATTGCTACGAAGCTTTACATTATTTGTCTGAAAGATTACAAAGATATACGAAATTACGCCATAGAGCAGCTATATATAGAAGTTGTACAGTATGCATCATTGAAATAATAGTCTATTTATGATCTCTCACAATTAGTTTTTCTCACTTTATAGTCAAGCAGATATAGAACAATCGAAGTAAAGAGTTAGAATATACTGCATCAGTAGTAAATGTTGTATATTATCCTACAAGGGTTTATTGTTGTTGTAGCCAAAATATATTTCGGAAGAAACTTGTTACGGTTTCCTTCCACTTAATCAACCCGTAGTACAGCATGTTGTAATTTATCGAATAATAATGTACCCATAAATTTATAAATTGAACGACGCGATAAAGTAGATCCGAGCGAGATACTTGGAGAGTTTATTAGCAATGGCAATAGAACGTAATAATTGTGATGCAATTTTTATTTACTTCTTATTTCAGTAACTAAACTTCCTTTACCTTAAAGTAAGTGAATTCAGAAGATAGTACCCAAACATCGAATTGGATCATAACTAAATGCTTTGCTAGGACTCCTATTGAATTTGTTACGATATTAATTAATAGTAAAAAAGAAGGAAGGAATAGCAAGATCTACAACAGAAAGAGGCGAAATGTAGTAAAACTGCATTAGTGAAGGAATTTTCAAAAACCATAGTACCAATGTTGTAAATTTAGTTATACCCTTCCGCTTTATTCCACAACAACTACGGTACTAATATTGAACTTCTGAATTAGTTAAGGTATAAAAAAATAATTAAGCGAAGCTGCATAATTTATGATAGTAATGCCAAGATTGTAGTTCGACTAGTTTCTCGTGCAGGAAGTTCTAGGAAAACGTAAAATCTTGCATTTGGGGCCATACGATCCAGTACCAAATAGCGCTACCGAAATACCTGACAAATGTCGATATAATATTTTCTTACAGAGCATACTTATACTTAATGATATTAAGAATCTATTCGCTATTGTATGCTAATCACTAAAGAAAGTAAATCTTCCTAAGATATTACCATCACCAATATAAATGTCTTTTCAAGTTATGCAAGATCATTTACTGACTATCTGATAAGAGTAATTTCATTTTCATGGTTAATTTCTTTAATGTCCGAATAGAAATCTGATAAACTCATCATCTGAAATAGACAGAAACCCATCACATGAAAAATTAATGTTAACTAAATTTTAATTAATGTTAAATAGGGAAATATACTTCTCTAAGTGCAAAATATATCGTAGCTATTAGATAATAGAATAATTTGCTAATTAAATAATCTTTTACTTATCCATTAGTTATGCTTTCAAGTTACAGACTATAACTGTTCATTCTATGAAAAATGGAGATAATTGCTTCAAACAGATGCTATCAAAAATTGAATTTCATTAAAATTTATTTAAATCTCAATAGAATATGATCGTTATGGCTACGAAAACAATTCACTGTTAGCCTTTCGATATCATGTAAGATATAATTTTAATTTGCATGATGCTGTAAATACATCATTAAAAATTCCTACAGTCAAAGTAGATGGGCTAACACATGCGCCTATTCATGAAGATCTTTTAGTTTAGAATAAATAGGCTGTATAAGGCCGTTTATTTTCCGCGTATCATAAAATTTTCAATATCTAAATACTATGAAAAATATTCTTGGTATAAGATCCAAGCTATCAGCATAGAATAAACAACATACATTGGATAATAGAAAATTGGAGACACATACTCATAAGCAGCGTAGAAAGTAACTCCATCAACTAACATAGCATAAAGCAGAGAGAAATAACTCTTCTTAGCACTATATCAAAAGAATTGCTCATATCATCTGTCGGGAATGAAAATGTTAATCATTATTTCTATGAGATAGGAGAAAATATAACACACTTACACTTGATTCGAATTCCAAGTGAATCAAATGAAGAGTTACTACTGCTATCAAACAGTCATAAAATAAGACGGATATTAATAGTCCGTATACCCTTTATGTAATCAGTCTAGACTATTACAACTGACTAAAGTATGATTCATCTTGCATAATGTAACAATTTCGAATCGTACTTTCTTCCTTATCTTATCTCTTGACGATCAAAGTATAAGTAAAATAACGATAAAGAATATAAACCATAGCTCTTTATTAATAGTACCATGAACATTTTATTTTTTATTACTGTTAACAATATATTCCTTTAAGGGATGAAATATACTATATATCGTTTATTCAATACGATAAAATAGCAGAGACAAGCAAAGGAGGAAATTTATTACAAAAGTTTCAATATTGACTGACAGAAATTCATATAGCAAATATTTTCTAGTTGCCTTATAATCACGACTAATTGATTGATACAATAAGTAATTAATTTAACAGCATTTAAATAAAAGAATAGATTCTATTTCTTCACTCTCCCCTCTAGCTATCCATACACCGTAAAAAAAACTCAAGATCAGTAAACAAAAGCATAGACCGCTAGAGTTATGACTCTGTGATGATTTTATAGATAGGTAATGTTATGATACTGTAATCGCTTTTATTGGATTAAAATTCTGAAAGACTACCGCTGTACAAACGACCCTCACAGATAATAAGTAACTTTGCTATTTGATCATCCTTCTTTATTTTTTATTTGGATTCTATTACCTCTATAATCAACCAATTGGAATACGTTGATCATTAACATAATATGAGATGGTCATTTTATTGTGTAAATTTCTTATTATTATTGTATTCAATTACTTCAAAAATCAAAGAATCAAGACACCCTGAGAATACGATAAAATATAATAGTAGTATTTAATTTTCATTTTAGATTTAAAATTATCATTGTCCTCTATCTTTCATGTTATTATTATCTCACTGACATCGACGATGATATTTGAGCTTTATTTTCAACCATTATTTATATAGACAGTCGAAATTAGCCATAGTTTTATTCTAAGGCTGATCAATTTATTCACAATTCATGGTAGCAAATTCTTAATATTTAGCATGGGATCAGTTTGGATAGCACTTTTAACTATAAACTAAGAAGCACAAAATCAATCTTTACATATACAAACTATCTCAATCAATTTCATCATTGGTAACAAAATAAAGCTATACCTTTATTCAACTTTTGGCTTATCTATATCATTTTTACTTAGGTAAGTTGATTGGTATTAAATGTTTGCATTACTCACATTTTATATAGACTGTTATTGAGTTCGTGTCTAAGGTCTTTATCGAATTATATTACGAGGTCAAAAGTCACATTAAATGCCTTATCTTGTGCTAAATCAAATCATTTAAGGCTATGCCGATTTACTTGCGCTATTTCATGATAAATAACCGATCAAATAAATACTATATCATATCAAATTTTTTATCAACTACCATCAGTCGATATGAAAACGTTAAAACTCTTTTCTGTCAGCAGTATTCTGACTAAAGGAATCGCATCATGTTGAGTTTATCTTCGACGACTTTTTTTCTACTTAAATAAGTTTAATAATTTATTCCCCTCTGTTCTCTATTCACATTTTACTTGTCCAAGAAGTAAATTGAATATTACAGTGTTGATATTTTGTTAATAGGTGTTCAATTTATTCTACTTGCTGTTATTCTCAATGATTCTGTTATACCAACGGGCAGTACTAGCCTTCTAATGTTTTCACTAATCAAAAAGGTGTCCATCTTAAATATACTGCCTCTTAATCAGAAATTAAAAGTAGATAGCTGCCAGGTTATATATCAGTCTATCATATTTATACTTTACTACTTGAAGTGATTTCAATTAACCATAATCTCTAATCTAGTGATTCATCATACAATCAAATATCGATCGATTCAATAGATGACTTTTAGGTGTGAGGCTTGGCTCCTGTAGTTTATTTCACGACGTCAAGTGATACTTATGTCATAAGCGCATTGGATACAATTTATAAGATTTATGTACAGTATAAACAGGAAGAAATCCATCGGAGTCGTAACTTGCATACCTAAAGAAACCTTTAAGGAACTTTATTTTTATCTTTCGGATGAATATTTTAATTTTAAATTGTAAAATATATTAAGTTTCATTTAGGCTCTACATCATTCACGATCTAGTAAGAAACCTGTTATTATGCAAGTTTACTGATTCTCTGTAACAACTTTGCATAAGGCAAACTTTCTTATGTCATTTTTATTTTATTTTGGTTGATTCTTTAAAACTGATAATCAAAAAGACTCGAAATTAAATCTTTCATTTTATCTTTTCGCTCCTAATAATAAAGTTATTTTTATACACGTATCGTTAAGCTCCAATCTTAATCATATTTAGTTAATTTTAGCTGTAGTTTTTAATTCGCGATCTAACCTAGATAAACTTGAAGGTGAATTTAGATGAATTAAAATTACTATGCTCAAACAAATATCTATTCAATGTATGGTAACCCATACGATTTAAAATCGAGGTGTCCAATTTTGCTATGCCTTAGATTCTATTCTTTGACTACGATTTCAAAGCCATCTGCAAATGATGTCTAAAATCTTACACAA